TGGGAGTTGAAGTCCACTCATCTTAAAGTGGCCAAGTTTGGACAACACTGCTGTAAATGAAAGCTATATACAGATATATACAGATCGCATGCTTCAGGGTTTAAATTCTAGGATTTTTCCTCCTGCCTTTGTGAGTCAGTACCTATTCTTTTGGTAGGCTTGGAAGCCGCCCAATCCATGTTGGCATAATGGCTCTCTCCAGCCTGGGAACTGGGCTTCCTGCTCACCAACTTCACTCCATACAGAGACTGTGTTTTAGAATCTTAACACTGCAAATCCTAGAACTCAGAGCCTTCAGTTATAATACCAAGAGTGCTGGAAGATGCAGTTCACTTCTCTGCAGAGTACCAGGGAAGATGGCAACAGCTGCTCTATTTATTTCCATGCAAAATAAATAAATATGGCACTCTGTCGAAAAATGTGACCTGATACAGGCATGGCTCAAATATCAGTTGTATTTCCTCCCCAGCATTTTTCCAATTTATACTTTTAACCATCTGGCCTGATGCAGCGTTATCAGAAACAGAAAGACTTGCAATTATTTGGTAAACTGTTTAGTTTAAGAAATACGTAGCCTCAGTGTGAAGTTTTCCTCTGGGCAAGTCTAAAGAATTCACCTAAAACATACGAATTTCAGAGAAAATATAGGTTCTGCTGGACAGTGGGCCATGGAAAATAAGAGAATGGAGGACAGATGATAGCAATACTGGAGGGGGGAAAGAATTATGCACAACTATAATTCTGTCAGTCCATGACAGGATCTGAGAAATGGAAAAGAACGAAACTGAAAGGGAGAGGCTTACAGCAATTTTAAGGGGAAAAAAGCACAAGAAAAGGATACTGATGTATCATGGATAGGGTTGCTAGGTAACAACTTAGCGATCCCCACCATGCTTTCATTCTCTGATAAAACAGGAGACAAAGCATTCAGGGCTTCTTTAGATTTTTTTTTCTTTCCCAGGAGGGCATGGGGAACATGGAAAAGTACAATTTATGAGGAGAATTTGGAGAGAAAAAGCAGTTCAAAGGAAGAATCATACGGAACTTGTGATGTAATTTTTGAAGGGAGAAAAATTAGGAAAGAAACTGCACAGAATAAGAATGGATATTTCCATTTCCCCCTATCTGGGTCCTCCAGATATACTAGACTACAACTCCTGTCATCCCCAGCCAATATCACGACCAATGGTGATTCTTTGGAGAAGGATGAGTGGATTAGCAACTGCATGTGTGTTGTCTGCATGTGTGTGTTAGGGTAGTGCCTTTATTTTAAACATCACAAGCTTGAATACTGCAGAACACTTCAGTTTAGATGAGAGGTTAACTTTGTTACATGAGAAATGTTAATTTGATCCAAAGGTAATAAGAATGCTGAGATAACTATTTAACCACCTTGATCCTATAAGATGCTAAGAGCACT